TTTATTATATACGTCGAAATTAACAAATCAAAAATTAATTATTAAATAGAATTTTTTTCTATTGAATTACAATGTAAAATTTGGTAGGTATACCTTAAGAGTTATAACACAAAAACATGACATACTTAATGGATTTTATTAAAATGTTTAAACTGGTTACAATTTTTGTATGGCAAGAACAATTATTATCCCGTCTGTTTCTCCGTTTAATTAATTTTCTGGTGACTGGATGAACTTCCATCTGTTTCGGGAGGAATAGAAAAAGTAACTTTTTTGTTGGGTGACTTGTATTGAAAACCAATTTTTTCCGTAAGTTCGTTTACGGAGTTAATGGTAGAAATCAATTTGTCCACGTATAAATCATAAAGGAGATTCGGTTTATCGTTTGATTTGGGACGTTTATCTTTCCTCTGTATCTCCTCTTCACCGATGACAGAGTATGACGGTTGACAGCTGTCATTCCATTGGATTACTAAGCGCGTAGCTAAACTTTCGATATCTTTGTATAAATTTTCGGGCGCCGTTTCTGTGAGATCGCGTTGTTGTCCCTTAAACATTTCATGAATCTGCAGCAGAATTTTGTAATAACCGTTGTCGACGACAGTCCTTTTGTGTAATTTGTTAACATGATCATTCATGGCAAACAATTTATACGCAATAATTGCGCCTCTTTTGAGACTATAATAAAGTTTTTCCCAACAATCTACTGCGTTACTGTCACCGTGACTTAACAATTCGCCGCACTGTTGTACTGTGTAGGTCGATATCCAGAGAAAGTCGATCAATGGTTTTCCGTAGCCGCACTCCATTAATAAAGCGATTGATTTCAGCTTGTTGATTAACGAGATAGTAGCCATGGACCATAATTGATTTTTATCCCTCACTTCTCCCACGCGTGTTTTCGTCTTGATGGGTGGTGATATTATGCTAACGAACCACGTCATCTGATCCCAGTGTTTCGCTTGCCAAAAATGGTCGATTTCGTCCAACTTGGTGTCGCTTGTACAGTTTTCTATGCAAATCAAGACTAATGCAAATAAAATCTGCACGATAAGACTTTTTCCCATGATGATTCCCGTATAGATTATTAAGATTTTGTTACAAAAAAAAAATCGAACGTGACCAACTTTGTCTGTAGCAAAACTAAAATGTCTGAATTTATTAGATATCTGTTGTGTACGAGTATTAGAAACAAATACTCTTTGCAAAAACCAACCGACACGAATTCAATATATGTGCCTAAGATATATTCTATTAAATATAAACATATTATTCGTCCAACTAACTGAATTTTCTGTATTTTAACACCTGCACACGTGTCTTCACGGTTAACTTTGTTCGTTGTGTCGATTTACACGCGTATTACAGTTTTTTTAGCAAACAATTTATTTCTTGCATGTTTTATTCGGAATAAAAATTGTATTATGTGCCTAAGATATATTCTATTAAATATCAAGAAATAATTTGTCCACCCAACTGAATTTTCTGTATTTTAACGAATTCATCATGTGCCTAAGATATATTCTATTAAATATCAAGAAATAATTTGTCCACCTAACTGAATTTTCTGTATTTTAACACCTGCACACGTGTCTTCACTGTTAACTTTGTTCGTTGTGTCGATTTACAGGCATATTACAGTTTTTTTAGCGAACAATTTATTTCTTGCATGTTTTATTTAGAACCTAAATTGTATTTAAATATTTAAAATTTAATTTTAGCAATGACGAAATTATCTTGACTAAACCATCACATGATGATCATGATCATCTTGTTATTTTCTTCTGCATTTTTTCAAGCATATTACGGCCAACGCAAAAAAAATCTTACCGACGAAATGTTTTCTCATGCTAAACCGTTAATAACTTTAAATGTTTTACTCGATAAAACTAATATGACCAGCGTGTAGTCTTTAGCAAAAATTAAAACATCTAAATTTGTTAGATATCTGTTGTATAGTAGTCGCAAATATTCGTCGCAAAAACCAACCGACATGCATTATTTGCTTAAGACATATATAAATAAATATATTTTTAATTAAAACAATCTGTGCATATACGAGTATATTTACATTAAGTTTGGTTTTCGTATAATTATTTACATGGCTTGAATTGGCGTGTGAGAAAGCCATCCATTGGTAACACCTTAAGACACTAATATGTAAAGACACTAAAGCATATTCTTCTTTCCAACGAAAATCTGACTAAATTAGACTTAATTTTTATTTTTTATTTATATTATATGATATTTTATAAATTAGATTCTCCCGATGGAAGTGATGCGCACCGTACCTATATCAAGCTCTTTATAAATCCGTATTGTAGTCTGGTTGATTAGTCTGTAGGGGCAAGGGGTGAGCTGTTAACGCACTACGACCTCTGTAGGTTCAGCAAGATACAGCCGTTCGAATATGTTCGAATAAAAAATAAATTCAACGTCTACAAATTATAAAACGCTTAAAGTCATACCTGTTAGATTTCTATAAAAGCAATTTGCCATAATAAATGCATCAAAACTATTAACTCGAATTAAATATTATTTAATTGAATCTCTACTATTTGAGGTTGTGTCTTTTTCGTCTATAAAAAAGTGTAAAATACAAATTTTAATTAACTTAAGAAAATCCTTAAGGAAAAAATTAATTCAAATGAACAAATTGTTATAACCTCTTAAACTTCTTTAAAATATGATAGATTATTGAAATTGAATGGTTTCTTTTTAATGAAGCAACAAAAGATTTTTTTTTTATGATTCTAATCTTTATATAAAAATGGGGATTTTATTATTTGTAACAAATTCATGGTATCGCATAAAACGGCCAGCTATTTTTTAAATGACTTCAGTATGTAAAATATAATACAAAATCACATAAAGCGAATATAATATAAGAAACATCTAAATGTCGTTTAGAACTCAAGCGAATATTAAATGTGTATACAGGGTGATTCTTGTCTAAATCACTATTATACGAAAATGTTCGGTTTAAAATTCGAAGGCCACACAAAATAATTTTAGAGCAGCTTTTTACTAAACCAAATGTTCAATTTTTTTTTTTACGTATACAACATAATAGTTTACAATAGCTGTAGCAAGTTTAAGTATCTGTCGGATATTCTACAAACAATATATATATATATATATATATATATATATATATATATCATAAGAAAAAAAATGTTTGCAAGGCAACTCCTATATTTTTCGAGATATTCTGTTAAGAAATAATTATTTTCAAAACAGAAATGTTAAAAACACAGTCTGTTTCAAAGATGTCAACATTTAAAGTTAAAGTTAGTGCCCTGTTTAGAAATAGTTATATGTATATTCAAATTAGATAATTGGGTTTAGCTTTCATAAAATGTGTAATACTATATTTGACCTATTATTGTTAGGAAAAAACATGCACATTTAACTAATAATTGCATTAATTGCGCTTTGGAATTTTAGTTGAAAAAACCCAGTACAGTGGGGTAAGGGCATAGTAAGGGCGGGTAGGTCACAGGTTAACAGGAATTTTTTAGTCTGAAAGTGATAAAATCACTTACGAATAAACGCTTCGATGCAAATCAGTAGTTAGTATTTTCAAGCCAGTACAGTCCAAACCATGCACAGTGTAAACCAGCAAAGTTAGAAAATATTAAATTGAGGTGCTGTATTTACAAATATGCATCAAAGCGTTAATTTCAAAGTGATTTTATCCGAGAGGACTAGTACGGTAGAGTATAGGCATTATGGAATCAAAGTATAGAGGAGACGGAGAGGTCACAGGTCTACAGGAATTATTATAAAAGTCATAAAATTGAATACAATGTCTATGTTTGTGATTGTGCTAGAATATGTAGGCCCCACGCTTGTAAAATGAATATTTAATATAATAATAACAAAAAAAAATTGGGGTTTAAGAAAGCCAGTACGCGATAAAAACACTTTTAAACGAACGCTTTGATAAACAAAAAATGAAAATACTTTCTGAAAAAGTTTCCACATGAATTGATGTTAATCAAGGAAAACGTTTGGTTAAATTAAAAAACAGTCATTGCATTCTGTCAGACAACAAACAAATGTATAGGTAATATCGAAGCAGTATAAATGTATATTCATTTAAGTAAAAACGTTGACTATTAACTTTGTATTCGATTTATTTTAATATTAAATTTATGACTTAAACTGTACACTGCTTAAACATACAATTACTACACACGAGTGTATTGGTGTTGATCCACTGTTGATGAAAACATAATATGTACTTAAATAAAAAGAGAATATAAATACAATATATTCTCGGCTTCGCAACAAAGCTAAAAAAAGTATTATTGAAATCAACAGTTATGATAGTAGACTAATAGCATATTCAGGGGCGTATTTATGGGGGGGAGGGGCTGAGGGGGCTTCAGCCCCCCCGAAATTTCAGGACATTTTTTTTAAGTCTGCCTAAGCGGCATGAGCTTATACCCTTTATCTATAGGATATAAATATTGTAGAAGTTCAGTATAGTTGTTTTAAAAATAATAAATTGCTATTTATGATTTTATTTTTATAACACAACGACTGATGTTGTTATTATTATATTTTGGGCGGCTGATTTACGGGCGCCAATTGTCTTCAGTCTTGTGGCAAAGCGTAGGAGTGATCATCGTCATATTATTTCGGTTTATTTCGCGATACATGCAGTGTACACTACTATTGTAGAGCTATTATAAATAAATACAAACAATTAAACATAAGTAGTATATTTTATATTGGGGAAAAAATGTCAACGATAAAAAAAAAATATTGCTATAGCCTGTATACACATATACCTACTTATATCAATAACAAATCGAACTAATCGCAGATGTTATAGAAATAATAGAATAATATTTATGTTATATAAAAATAAAGCAAAAACGAAATGTTTTTATTTGTTTTTTGTATGGTATGTTAAGAATTGGGGGGTTTGGCTTGCCAAGAAATATTATCGAATTCATAGTATATTTTACTAATAACGTGTGTATAAAGATATGTACCCAAAAGCATTATACACACACTGTGTAGCTCATTCATTAAATCTTTGCTTATCAGATGCGTCTAAATCTCTAGATATTCGAAATGCTTTTGGTATAATAAGTGAATGTTGTTCATTTTTGAACTGGTCGGCAAAACGAACTACAGTCCTTAAAAATAAAATACTAGAAATCAAACCAAATTCACAATCCACTAAATTAAAATCTTTATGTGAAACTCGATGGGTATTACGCCATGAAGTAGTTATGCTTTTTAAAGAATTTTTAGAACCCATTCTTGCTGCATCAGAACAACTGCAGAATGAATGTTCTGGAACGGATTCTTCAATAAGGACTAATAGTCTTTTACATTGTATTTGTAATTTTAATTTTTTAATATCTGTTTGCGTATCTAGTAAATTATTAAGTTATACTTATAATTTATCTAAATATTTACAAAGTAAAAATATCGATCTTTTTAACGCTCTTAAACAAGTTACCCAGGTGGTTTCTGTGTTGAATTCCACAAGAGAAAACGTTGATTTAAAATTTAACGATATTTATAAAGACGCCCAAGATATTGCTATAAAGTTAAATGTTGAACCAAAAATACCTCGAACATGCAGCAATCAAAAAAATAGAAGCAATGTCCCGTTTAATAATATTGAAGATTTTTACAAAAAAACTATTTTTATACCGTAACTGGACGATTTAATAATGGCATTAAATAAAAGATTTTTACCTCATAATGAAACTATAATTTCATTACAATTTGTCTTACCTCGTATCATAGTTGAAAAACAATTTTTTAATTTAAAAAAAGCTGTCGAATTTTATAAAAGTGATTTACCTGGGCTAAACGACATTATAGAAGCAGATTATGAAATTTGGCAGGCTAAATGGAAAAATATTGAAGAAAACTTAAGACCTGCAACTGCTATAGAAGCTCTAAGAGCCTGTGATCGTTTAATGTACCCTAACATATTTGAATTACTAAAAATACTAGCTATAATTCCAGTATCCACCGCTACGGCTGAACGCAGCTTTTCGACTATTAAAAGACTTAAAACATATTTAAAAAATACAACTTCTGAGTCCAGACTAGTAGGACTAGCATTTTTATCCATTCACCGAGACATTGATGTAAATGATGATATGGTATTAGACAAATTTGCCAACAGTGGTAAAGAGAGAAATTTGAATTTAATATAATTTGTTTTACTATTATTATAATTAGTATTAATAAGTATTAATAAGAATTATAATTTCTATTTTATTATATAATATTTTATAAGACTTGAGATTTTGTAACTAATAATAATTATATCAGAATTATAATATTAATATTTTACACTTAATTTCGAAGTCTTGTTTTTAATAGGTTGAGAAATGGGTAAGTTTGGCCAAATTTTTAAGGTTCATTTCTGGATCAGAATTTAGAAATAACTCTTTACACAGCTCTTTTACTCAATGCCTTAGCCCCCCTTCCCCCCAAAAAAAATATCTAAATACGCCCCCGTATTTTAATATATTATAATACCCATAGCACCTACCTATTGTTTTCCATGCGTAAGTAATGCAACAAAAAATAAATACAATATATAAGTAGTACAATGAATCAGATAAACCGTCATACAAAGGAAAAAAGGAAAATTTAAAATAACAAAATAATTAAAAGATAAAAAATTTCCATAAACAATATATGTCGGATTTCAATAAAAGTGTTTAATTAATAGTCAAATTTAAAATATAAACTTACATATTTTTTAAATAATTTCTATTCAAAGCCAACAGTAATTATAAAAGACTACTAACATTTTATAATACAAAACAAGAATAGTAACAACATTTTTTACTATAATGCATGTGTAATTTATGGTAATTTAAAAATTAAATTAGAAAATTATGAAATAAAAAAAAATAATTTAATTGAAAACGTCATAATTATGTTAATGATCGGTTAAACGTTAGTAATAATTAAAATATTATAAGAAAACTAATAAAATTGTATTCAATATCTGAATTTAGAGCCCCTGGATGCCGACCATTTTAAGGAGTTTTGTAAAGGCAATATTTAAGAAAATAGTGGTTTTAATAAATTTCGAACATGTTAATTAATTTACCGGTTAATTTGTTTAAGCTTAATGGTATTGTTTATAATTTAAATCATTTTTTCTATGAGTAAGAGCCATTTTAGTTCACAGGCTGAACCAGTGATCCGATAAGTAATCTGAAAACCGATTTAAATTTGTCATGAAGTTTACTTGAGATCGGTCAGCGTACTTTTGTTGATATCTTATTCCTACTACGCATAAAACACGTTTGAACATTTTATAAAATTTTAAAATAAAAAATTTGGAAAGGGTTAAAATTAAAAATTGAAAAAAGTGCTCTGACCGATCTCAAGTAAGCTTCATGAAGAATTCATATCTGTTTTTAGATTGCTTATCGGATAAATGGTTCGGCCTGTGCGATGGACAAAAAACGATATGTTATGACTGAAAAAAAAGGTCGGTATCCAGGGGCCTTAATTACATATGCATATGACACTAAATTACTAAAACAGTTGGAAATTAAATGTTAAAACATATTTAAATATAGAGACGAGAAAATATTTACCTATTTAACTTGTTTACAATGCGCTAAATTTTGTATTTTAAATGACTTCGTAAGTATTATAATATTTCAAATATAAAATGGTAACAATCAGTCTACCTAACTGTTAATTAATTTAAAGAATATAAAATGGGTGAATGTGTTAATATTGTATAAAAAATATTATAGCATACTACTATTATAGTAGGGATGTAATAGGGATTTTCTGAATATTATTTTTAAGAACAAAACAATAAAATTAAGAGGGGCTGCAGAAGTAGGAAAGTGCAACAGAATTATAGAATTAAATATTCATCCCATCGAAAACTATAAGTAAATTAGCGTTAATAATAGTTAAAAAATAAAAATATAAAGAGTAAAGAACATGCATGTATGTAAATAAATAATAATTATTATTTAATAGGATTGTTTAATTTTTACTACATTGTGCATACCATTTAAAATAACTTAAAATATAGTGCCTACACCAGAATATCCCTTAGGGCTGCCTTGAAAGTAACTCATGCTTACAGCTAGTACCCAAACCCTGCCTGTTAGTTGTTGACAGTTATTCGTGACATGCAATAGTCTTTTAATAATTTAAGTTAACAGGTAATCACCTAACCGTAAATCAACGTTTACTTAAAATGTTAATTTATGCTTAAATGCTATTTTTCTTTATTATGCTCGTGGTTACCTTAAAATGTGCTTTTTAATTTTCTGTTTTGTTTTAAACGATTTTTGGCAGTAATTGCAGTCAAACGACGGTGTTGGCTCTTCTTCAGCATCAAACAGTTCATGCCTAACGATTTCTATTTCTGATTCAAAAACACAGTCGTCGAAGCGTTCTTTTTCAATTTTTATATTCAAATCGTCGTTATTGCAGCTAAAACTACAACGAACAAAATTTTAAAACTTTATATTATTGTATTAAAGTTTTTAAAAAAATATACAATTTTAAAAAAACAGATATTGAGAAATAGGCAAAAAATTAGATTTTTAGAATACTGATGTTAAATTTATAAGATATAAAACTTAAATTATATTAGGTTTTAAGTTAATGTTTTGTTTTTTCAGTAGGTAACTAACGGATGAGCTTTTAAACATTTAGTCGTGTATATGATTATTGCTAAATAGATAATAATAATTTTGTTTTATATAACTTTTATTGAAAACAAAGGTACCTTATCAAAAATTGGGAATTTTTTTTTAAAAGAACATAATATCTGACACCACTATTACTAACTATTTGATTTCATTACAGGATATAATCTAAAACATTTTGATAATATTACTAAAAAACATAATTGTTTTATGAGACATAGTAATCCAAGTATAGGCTAAATTATCTAAAATTAACTGTAATCATCTGACAAAAACTGATTATGCAGCAAAAAAACACTGCCTTACGTTAAAATATTTTCACCGTCCAATGTGCTTAAAATTATATTTTTAATTTAGAGTCAATACAAATAGGAATGATCGTCTGTCTATAATAGTAATATTGTTTCCCTGATACCATAATTATCATAAACATAAAAAAATATTTCCTAGTCACGTAGAAATTCACAACGGTCATAGTCAAATATCCAATTTTTTGGTTTTATCTTTAAACAAAAAACTTCTTAGATACAGTTCGAAGCATTTAAAAAAATAAAAAAATACAATATTATTCGACTGACGACCTTTACTTTTAAATGAGTTATGAAATAGTTTAGTAGAATACTGGTGTCAGTAAAGCGTTTTAACTACGCAATAAAAATAACAAATACCTATTAGAAAAAAAAAATGTATCTTATTATAATTATTTTTAAAAAGTTTTACTATCAGAGCATTGTATCTTTTTGGATACAACCAATAAATCCAGTTAGAGAAGTGCAACTGAGGTAAAAGTGTTTATCTAGTTATATCCAATAAAAGTTAGTTTATGGCTTAGTTATAAATTAGATTACTTATAGTCTATAATTATTATAAATAGTACATAATTTCAATAAAAACCACGTTACCCTAAAGTACTTACTACTCCTCTGTTGTAGACTTTTCATTGTTTTTGAACTGCACATACAACGGTTTAGGTTTAATGACTTCAAACGATTTGTCAAACGAGTGTTCTTCTGTTTCATAATTTTCTTGTTTAATTTTCAACATATTATACCGCTTCAAAACTCTATAATTAACATTTAACTTGGTTATATTTCTGTGCCATATATGCATAAAGGTTTTAATAGGGCGACTTAATTTAACAATTTTAACAATTTTATTTATTAACAAATATAGTTATAACAATAATATAATAAAGAATAATTTAGTTGACATGATTTGAAAAATAAAAAACCAACAAAGTTTTGCGTGGTAGGTATATTTTGTTTTTGTACACTTGTAAAACTAAATTTTAATTTACTTAAATTATATTGATAACACAAGTGTGCTGCTAAGTATAAGTGCAAGTATGACTTGTGGGTAAGAAGCTAAGACACTAAAGATTAAAGCTAGACAATAGACCATTATGCCGACTAGAATTATTTAAAGTGGTGTTGATCCCGTATCACTCGACTCAACTCAAATCCAGTGTATGAAGTACACTGGATAGTACATAGTACCTACCTTAAAGGATACATGAGATTTTATACTTCAATAATTAAAAAAGTGATTGGCTTTTTTTTAATATTAATAAATTACTTAGATGTTTTGATTTTAAACTATTTTTTATTAAATAATTCGTCAGTTTCGTGTTTATTGTTGGGTACATTTTAATGCACATTGACTCAATAATTAACAAAACCCATGATATTACTCTACTGTATATTCAGGCTTTTATCTAGACATATATCAATAAATTGGCCTTTTGTGTAAGCATAGAAAGTCTATTAGCTAAAAGGAGATACAAAATTTTGGATTTCTTTATATTGATTATTTATTCTTTATATTTGATTCACTATTATACCATAAACAGTATATATTTTACTGAAAATTTTGACTGATCGATAACAAGTTTTAATTAAACTTTAATGTTTAATACAACATAAACCCCAATGGTTTATAATGGCTTAAAATCAAGCTAACAATAGAATTAACGCTGCACAAACAGACGTTATGAAAGAACAACGGAATGTACTCTACTGTAATGAGTTATCAGTTATCATTGCTTTGGGTAGACTTGCTCTAGCATTTAAACATTCGATTGCGACACAATTTTAAATATTTTATTTAGTAAAAAACATAGTAATAAATAATAATCATTTTAAAATAAAGAATAATTTAGTTTACATCTTCTGAAAATTAATGGCTAACCAAGTTTTGTTTGGTATATTTTGTTATTGATTTTTCAATTAAAATTTTGTATACGACATATTAAGACATTCTATTATATGTTAATAATACAATTACGTTAAAATATTGGGCCCGCTGGAGATCTCACCCCAGCTTAAAATTTAAAAGTACTTATACATAAAATACTAAATTTACAGTGTTTTTATGTAATGTAATCTCAATTTTCCACAAATTTTAATGTTTTTCTGTTTAATTGAAGTCACATTGTATAAAAACATCATGAAAAAAAAAAATGTAATTATTAATTAAAACCAATGCGATATTGAAGGGTTAACGATAAGTATATATGGTATGTTTATTCTTGACACGTCTTATTTATCGTTTTAGTATCATCGGCCATAAAAAAAAAATTAACACAAGGTTAATACACTGTAGTTTATTTTGTAAAATTATTTCAGCTTTCTGAAAAAAAAAAAAAATTTTAATTACCCCTGACGAGTGTATTAAGTACAAGTGTTATTTATTGCCGATGGATGTTTGTTTATATATTGTCCTTTTAAATAATTTAGCAGAGTCCTGGGGTGTACAACACTTTTATCGTGAACCACTCAATATCTCTTAGAGTTAAATAAGAAATTTAATTTTTAATTTTTTTTTATTGTTTGTTTTTGGGGATGGGCCGATACCACTTTTTATATTTATATACCTTTATACCAATGTATAAACGTTATGAACATAGATTGTGATGGATTTTGCTTCGGTATGTATATATTTAATCAAGTTTACAATACATATTTTTACTCATAAGTATTATAAAATGCAGGTGTTGGTATCATGAAAAACGACCTATTTGTGTTTGTGAATAATAGAGGAAAACTTCATTGTGAAAGATATGACAGAGGGAAAAATCTATGGCAATTAGTTGAAAGGGCTGGTAAAAAGTTATTATCTCTAACAAGTCATATCATTACATTCAATCATATTAGGTACACTTTATAACATTTGTGAATTCAATTAAGTCTTAAAATTATTTACACTTTTTGTTGTTGATTTTTTATTTATATTCGTTAATACTTCGGGAGAACTTCATTTTTAAATATATTACACAATGAAATCATGGCGTCTGACTGTCACGGCAGAAGAGATACCAAACGTTTTTGTTGTAATATTGTTTTTAATGATGTTACTTTGAAATCATATTATGGTATTAACTTATAATATTACTTATTATATCCTGTGAGTAAAAATTAGTTTTAAAATTATTAAATTTTTTTAGCTTTTTTTCGGTTACGAAGTACAAACTATGTATTATTTATGTAATATTAGAGGTTGCAATATGCTGGAACAGGTGGAGGGTAATCCCTTAGTTAGCTCCTGCTGTATTGTACCTCTAATTAATTTTCAGTTATAATTATAAAATTAGCACCTGTTTGGTTGAGAATCTATTATGTTATAATTTGCAATAGCTATAAAGAAGTTTTTAAGGCGAATGAGGTAGGTATCAAAAACACATGTATATATAGGTATGTTGATTGAAATATTTTGTGTAATTAATTATTATGACATTATATTGTTGTTAAAAACAAAACTATTATAATTTTATGTTTATTTAAAATTCAAAAATATGTATCGTTATTCGACAATAATTGTGATTAGGTATATTATTTTATTCATAATTCTTACAATAAAAAGTTTTCTTTTTTGTATTACAAAAAGTATCATTCTTCTTTGATGAATATATTGTCAAAGAGCAGCCCAGATGTATTAAATACTATTTGTTTTCCGAACTTTTCATCACCAAGTATCTTGAGTTCATGAAGCTTATAGATAACATCAACGTAGGCAAGAGATTCGAAACTAATAGGAAAGTAAAATAAAATAGTTATATAACTTAATTTTTTAAATATCCTGAACAATTGCATAGGTATTGCTTAAAAAACGTAAGAGGCCACTTGCTCTCGATTGTATTAAATATCTATTTGAAATATGTTTTTTAGGAGACATCATCATAAAAAATTTCGAAGACAAAGGAGAACAAAAAAAAAAAATTCATCAATTTCCCTATAGGAGATACCTATTTGGATTGGCCACGTATAATGGTGAAATCGTGTTCATTATAGCCAATCTGTAAATTGGAAGTCGTTCACTTGAGGTAATGTCAACGATTAAAAAATGTCCCTTTTTCCTTTAAATTAAAAAAAATATATATCCTAATTATCAGCGATTGAAAACGTGCTAAGCTAAAAACTACTTTATTTGTTATAACGCATACAAATTTTATTAGAATTATTTTTAGTATGATAGTCTGGAAGCTTGACTGATTTTGACCTTGTAAAAAAATAAGTTGACAATTTTTGGTTTTTTCAAGTATAGCGTTGATAAGAATATTAATACTCACTCTGGTTTTATAACTAAGAACGGATCTGTAAAGCAGAACAGTTTTTTAGAAAAATATAATACATTATATAAAATGTTTTACATAATTGTAAAATATTTGTGTTTAAATATTTTGCCATAAGTGTAGCAAATGGTGGGCACCCCCTTCCCTTACCTACAAATTATTGTAAGTTTAAATTACAGTTTTAACTAAATTAAAAAAAAAAAAAAAACTAAGCACAGTAAGAAAACTTAAATAAAATATAGTTGATACAACAGTATAATAATTTTGAAAACGTATTATTTAAAATTATAAATAACAAAATATTGTAATGTAGCATAAACACAAATATCTCCAAAAAGAAAAACTAAAAAATATCTATAATTACTTAAATGAAAATTAAAAAAATTCATAATACCTACCCAGATTGACGTGATGCTTATATATTTCTGCAATGAAAATATTAACATAATTTTACTTGAAACTAAATTAAAAAAATTCCATATTTACTTGTATCTTTATGTTGTGGATTTACATTATCTGCAAGGAAAATATTTATAAAATAAAATGTTATCTAAGAACCCATTTTGCTAGAAGTTTTACCTTGTTCTGCAAACATCATAAAAGCCTCATCTACAATAAAAAAAGATATTATTGGAATTTAACAAATGAATTAACTACGCGATTATTAACCGACTACAATACTAGTTAATATTAAAATATTCGGTAATATTCTTGTTTGATTTTGATAAGAAAACAATAGACTCTAATTTTAATCAACGACTAAAATTTATTTTAAAAAATCAAACATTTTCATTGGTTATATTACGGCAAATCTAATGGATGTCTTAGTCAAATTTGGAAAAAAATTGTGTACTTCATAATTAATAGAGAAGGATGGAATTAGATTTGAATAAAAATCATATTATTATTTTCATAATTTTATTTTGTGGCGAATTTCAAGTTTGAGAGTTTAAACTTGTAGTTTAATGTACTATACACATTATAGTACTATTCCAACCTCACCAATCAAGTAATTTATAATTTATAATTATGCCATTAATAAATAAATCTTTATTTTTATTCAAATCTACTTCAACAATCTTTTCAATATTAATGTATCTTATTGATATATTAAATTATGTGCAATACAGTTAATTTATTTAATATAAAACTATTTTTCTTTATTTTAAGCAAGTATGGAACTTATAAATATAATATACAATATTTTAACAAATAAAACATTAGCTTAGTAAGGAACATTTCATTAATTTTGTAAACCGTTACTTTAACAACTCCTAAAATGTTATTGTTGCCATTTTTTTACCTTATTTAGGCAGCCAAAAAATGGAAATGTTTTCTACATATATTATTGTCATTTAAAAAATATTTTCATAACGTTTAAATAAATCAGCTCAATCAATTAGAGGTTTTAGAAAAAATTGACATATTACGCTTTTACTGATTATTATGCTTAAAAAAACATTTTTTTAATATGAAAAATAATAATAAGAGGTAGGTTTAAATTTATTTTGACTATTAAAATGAAAATAAAAAAAAAGCATACATTTTAATATGATTTTATAGTAGCCTGACGTATAATCTTTAGTAAAAATCGCAGTGCTCTACTCCCAACCTACTTATTCATTTTATTTTATTTTATAATTATAATAAAATGCCCTGAGGCAATTAAAAAAAAAAAAAATATGTATATATATACTATCCCACAATATATACTAGTTTTTTTTTAATTATGCGTAACTTTGTAAATTTTTAAGACACACGCTTATACAAATCTCTTCAAGATTATAACTATAATTTAATTTTGACAAGTAGTTTAGCCGATAAAACCCTCGGAATATTGTAACAAAAAAAAAAAATTTTATTGCAAATATCCAATCGGTTATATTATTTCAGCTCTTATTGGCATTATCTTTTTTTGTATACACTCACAAAATATCAATAAAATAATAATATTTTTTATAATATTCGAATAGTGGGACTATCCAACATGAATAAAGAGATTTTAAATTTAAGAATAAAAGTAAAAAATTAAAAATGAATAAGAAAAAAAAGGCACCAATAATGACCGAGGACCGACTTCACCACCCTATACTGTGATTCAAAATCACAATTAAAAAAAAAAAAATGTATACAATATTCAGAGATTTTATCGTCTAAACTACTTGTCAAAACTCAATTATAGTTATAATAAAGCCGTATTTTAAATGCCGTATGTTAGAACCGGGTGTCTTAAAAAAATGACTAAGTTATGCGTAATTAAAAAAAACTAGCATATTTTTAAATGAGAGATAAATAATGCCATTGCGACTGGCCAAAAAAAATCTGACATTTTTTTTTTTTTTAGACACTTTTTAACTGAGATGTACCCATTTTTCATTGTGGAGATGAAAAAAAATTGTTTTGGACCAGTTTAGTATGTATAATTATAAAGATATTTTTCAAATCTCACAAAATTAATTCAACCTACTTCCCAATGACACAGAAGGCTGGAAATTGGTCCAGACACTCAGTTCGGATAAAAATACAATGTTCCTTATAATATTGAAATTAATTTCCTTTCAAATTACATGTTTAAAAAAAAAAAATGTTTTAACTATTTAAATAGCACTGTAACAACTAAGTTATCTATTCACTGTCATTAAATACCTACCTTTAAAGAACACTAAATTGTAAAAAATAAATAAAACATTTAAAAAAAAAACAAAGTGCTGGTACGTTTTAATAAATGTGCTACAATTGATTGGTCAATTGTTCTTGTAAAAAAATTATTTTTTACTTTTTAGTTCAATTTTTTTTTACCGTTTTTTAGAAAAGTATGTTTTTTTTTTAAATCGTATTAATTATTCTTTTACTTGAAAATTACATGTACTATATTATATAGACCCCGCTATATAAATCTAGTTTTAATACTATGACATTTACATAATACTATGAGCTTCATTATAGTTAAGGTAAACACAATTATACTTACCATCAGTTTCTTTATAGATAAGTAAGTCATCTCTATCAAATTTGCCTGTAAAAAAAAATTATAAATGTATTGTATATATTTTAAATTGTGGATTCTGGTTAAACACTGAAATATTCATTATACGTACCAACAGATGCAAACGTACAGACAACACAGACAGATAAAACAATAAAATAGTAACTGATAGATGCCATTGTGATGCGGATAAGAGTATATTCGGGTAAACGAGAATTTCAAACGTTAAGGACAACTGTAGGATTGTGATGGAATCTAACGAATGAAGGTCGGGTCACCTATGTCGGTCCTTTTTACAAAAAAATATAGGTATTTCACCTGATCATACAGAGAAAACAACAATAATTTAAAAAAAATAGGCAGGGGGAGTCGGGGACAGTGAACAGGGAGGAGACATGAACCACCTTTTTTTAAATTTCGCGTTATCGAGACGGCAGTTGAATCAAAACGTGCCTTACAGCGCAATATATTCACCAATGTGCCAACACTCAGTCCCGGACTCCCCCTACATTAAAAAACAAAAATACCAACCCAAATGTAATGTATGTGCCAACGATTTGCGGGGCCCTCGGTTTTTAGTTTGCGCAGAAAGCAGGTAAAACATATAAGAAAGCGTTCGAGTTGAATAAATATTTTTCACATTCTATTAAGTCAATATAAGCGACCTAGAAAAATGTGAAAAAGGCTCAAAGTTTAGTTTCACGGTTTTTTTTTTTTTTTGGATCACCTTAAGGGGCCTCTTCGCGTGCATATTTTTGGTCGGAAACAACACATTCTACTTGAATCGTGTCGTAGTTTAGCTGTAGACCAAACCTGGGCATTATTTGTAGTATTTTTTAAACGATTTCGTCATTTAGCAAGTCTATAGATCACAAAGCATACATGGAATATGCAGTATAGTTAGATGGTCGTTAAAAAAGTTTACCCAGTTAATTCATAAAATTTCAATATTTTTTACTGTCCTGTTTATAATAGTGTATTCACATTACACGTTATTATAATACCTTTGTATAATTGGTATAGTGGCCAAATCTGGCACTTCAATCCTATGCTATAATATTCTTTCTCTATATCCAATTGCGAATTAAACAAAACCAACTGATGAGTAAGGAGTGAACATCTGGCGTTAGGTATTGTCGAATTCGAGAAAAACATTTTCTATACATACAATAAAAAGTGAAAAGTTGTTCGCACGTGTAACATAATACAATGGTAAAGCAGTTTTTTTTCGAAAAAAAAACAACATAATAAATCATTGCGAATCGTATTACACCTTGAACTAGGCACGCAAGCTAAAAATCAAATAAAATGGGTTTTTAATATCCATACTACAGAGTACAAAGAAAATGTCAATGTTAGATTTAAGAGTAAACTTGATAAAATCGAGTACAAAAAAACAAAAGAAGCGCCCTTTAAAAAACGTATTACCCTACCTTTACGATTTTAAGGTAAAAATAAAATAAAATGTGTTTTTTACCTTGAACCCTGTTCAATACTAAATGGGTAACAACAAATATTTTTAGCCAGACAATATAATGTGCATATTGAAAATATTATATTGTAATAGGTAGCTGTAACTTTCAAAGTACTTGTCCGGCTTAGCAAAATAATATCTATGCAAAATACTTGGCATTATATAGCTCGGTCTTATGTATACTTTTAACAAATCCAATATAATAAAGACATTTTTACATCGGTAATAAAATTTCTTTAGAAAAGATATCTTAGCTCCGATGCAGAGCGGCGAAGGTATTGGTTTTACTCTGATATGAGATTCTTTTTTATCTGTATACACTGTAACTTATATAATACTGGACCAATGGTACTTTGGGAAGGAGGTAAAAGTTAAAAAAATTTACTTCTTCACAGTCGAAATTTGAAAAAACAAAAAAAAACCGTATGAGTTTTTAAGTTAGAACTTTTACTGACTATAATTTCGAAAAAAAGAGTCCGATCGAGTTTATTTATTTTTATTTATATTACAAAACAGGCCGAGGCCCAAAGTACAATTTTTGTAGACACAGAAATACATATATAATTATTTAATCTAACAAGTTATACAAAAGTGAAGGTGGAGATGTTCTCATTTTCAATGCGCATTATCCTGAAAATTGGTCTATTATATGAATAATTAGTGGTGCAAATCGGTACAAAGAAAGGATATGGTGATCTAGAATGGAAGTTAGGGACTTTGAAGTTGAGTTCACTTAATAAATCAGGACAATCAATAGATCCATCCA